GATGGTGGTGATTTCCTGAGGGTATAATGGCTGAGGATAATTGATCATCAGCCAATTGTGGAAGGGAGAGAGAGAGAGAGAGAGAAAGTTGGGGGGGTTGGAACAGCAGCCACTGCGCTGGAGCAGCTGCATTGGCGCTGCAGCTCTCAGGGCCTGGGCTCCCAGTCCAGTGAGATCATCAGGTGGATCAAGCAATCTGGGTCCAGTTGGAACTGTGGTACATGTTTTACTATGAACATGTTCGATCTTGGACATATGGCCCTCTCTAACAATCCAAATCAGTAGTTGTGCCTTTATCCTGCTCTGCTTGCAATCCTGCAGTCCAGCTACATAATGTGCAAGGCAGGCGCATGCATCAACAAGGTTTCAACACATCATCATAAAAGGATATAAAAGGATATCAATGTCTAGGGGGGACAACATTGTCATTCATTTTTGGTTCCTTTGTCATTTTGGCCACTTCATATTGCCACGGGTAGTTGCCAGCTATGGAGCTTCCACCCGATGATTGTGGACCACAGATCTTTAGCAACCTTGACCTGGTTTCCTTGACTCACAAAGCTGTCCCTGATTTGAAGACACCAACCCGGAAGCGAATGGAATCTGTCAGTGAGGGGTGCCTTGGACCTATGTTGAGTAACTGTCTCATGAAGCTACTTTTAACATAGGAACCCGGCCTTCCTGTCTCTTTGCCCCCCAACTGGTTTTTCCAGGCTTTCTGCAGAGAAAGCACTGAAGTGCTGTGCAAAGATGTGTGTCCACCATTTCCGGGCAAGCTCACAGAGAGTCAAAAGCATGGAGGCAAGGGGTTCAACACTTCATGGATCCACAGGTGTTGATGGAGTGGTTGGCCTAACAATGGCAAGACCTTGTCATGGGTGTCCTTTAGTAATTTAGGAGTGGAGGTGGCAACTGCACAACAAACAGAAAAAGGGCACTGGGTTCCCTGAAGGAGATCCGCTCCAAGATGGCTGACCTGAACCAGGAAGAGACCAATGCATTTATCTTGGGTATTCTTGGCAAGCTATCTAAAAAGGAGAACGTGGGAGAGACTTGATTGGCTAATAATACCATGTGCAGGTTTTGGCAACATTTAGTGTGCTCTTTGGTGTGGCTATGTTTGAAGGGTTGAAGGGTTGAGTATTGGAAGCCAACCATGACTTACCATGATCTAAGGACTCACTGTCGTTGGAGTGGGCGCTGTGTGGAGCCACTCTATGCCGCAATGGTTTCTGCATTTTGCTTGGCATCAATGAGAAAAGGGTTGCTTGGCCTGCTGCAAGCAGATCCTGATGTTTCACTCTCCCCTGAAGGTTTCTGTTTGGTAATCATTTAAAGACCAAGCCACTCGCAGTGACCAGCGTTTGCAGCAAGGTGATGCGGCTTCTTGATGGTCTTGCTTTGAACCTGGTTCCACCAGACAAGAGGAAGCACAATGGCCGCGCCCCTTCCAAGGGCAACAATGTGGATTCTTTCTTCACATACTACTACTGGAACTTTGCACCTTTGTGGAATACAAAGTTGCATTGTCCCTTTTTCTTTACCTTGGCCCACTGCCCCTAACACTTGCAGCAAAAAAAATCTTTGGGTAAAAGGGGAGTGCGCTGGTGTTTTTGCCATGTACCAATGAGGCTGAGACATTGGCAGAGGCACCGCCGGAGGAAGAACTGCAAGGTGCTGCTATGTGCACCTCTGGCCTCTTTCTGCCTAGCTACTTTGCTTGCTGTTTAAGGCAGAGTTTCTTTTTGTGGGTCTCAGGGTTGGGAGAAAGAGGAGTCATATATATATATATATGTATATATAAAAGCAATCTTAAGTTTGCAATCTAGGTGAGGCTTCATCAGAGCTGCCAGCATCTTTCATGGAGGGCTCAGCTCACTACTCAGAAGCTGCTTTGGCAGAGGTGAATGCTCCAGCAAAAATGGTGAGACTCACACCATCGGATGGATCTACAAGTGCCTTGAACCAGTTTCTCTCAATTTTTTCTGCTTTGAAAGAACTAGATAGTTTCAACTTGTTTTCTTTTCAAGTGGAAACACCACATCGGCAAAGGCTTGGCACCGCGGTACATCAACCACATGACCATGGAAGCATTCTACCAGATCTACTTGATGTGGGCCGATGGGGCAGCCCTTGATGAGTCTGAGATTGCTGGATGTTGGTGCTTCCGCAAGACCTATGACACTCAATGGAAGTCCACTTTGCGGATGCGAACTGTATCACAGCATGCCAGGTACAGGGTGTGAACACAAGTGTTTGACAAATCTTGATAACAAAGGAGGCTAGTTCCCAGTGGATACTGCATGTGGACTGTAAGCATAGCAAATTTGTGTTTCTCCTGCCCTTCAGGTGCAGTACTTGTGCAGAGTTCAGCGCCAGGTGCAACAAAGCAGCCTGTGAGTCTGACCGCTTGAAGTTGGAGGCTGTGCAGAAGGGCCACCTTCTCAACGTGCACCAGTACCGCCTCATTCAGGGGCGGTTGAACACCCTCAGCGAGACAGAGGGCTCCAACATTTTGAAGATTGACCTGGATGGCCTTGACCAGAATAAAACAAAGTTTCCCAGGAATCTAGCAAGCTCCAAGACTCTATCTAGCTGCTGGCGTCCTCAGTTACACCTGGTAGGTGTTATCGTGTGGGGTGTTACTTTGATTTGTGCAGGTACTCTTTTGGACCAGGTCAGGTGCTATGTTTCTTTTACTTTATGTAGCTGATTGTATATACAGTTACAATATATATATATATATAAAGACTCTGTTTTTTAATATCCATAATGCTGCTGGAAACTCTTTCCTTGAATGATTTTTCCAGCTGAGGTTGTTGAGGGATATGTCATTTTGCCACCGGATGTGGCAAAGGACTCCAGTTGCGAGGCCACGTTGGTGATGAAGGCTGTGGACTGGGCCCATGAAGAGCTATCTCGCCATGGCCGTTCTTTGCCAGAACATCTGGTCATAGAGGAGTGGCGTTGATCCCTTAAAATTAAACTGTTTGTAGGTGCAAACACACATGCCCAACCTTAATGAACCATGTCTTTTGAAATAATGATGACTAGTCCAATGTTGTTTTTGGCTTTACCCTGCAGACGGACAACTGTGTCAGAGAAGGCAAAAAACCAGATCATGGCCAAGCTGAGTGCCAGTGCAATCATCACAAACCGGTCCCTCATCTGAAACCAAAAAATGTTTCCCTATGGCTGGTGTGTTTTAGTGGGGTTCCTTTTTGGTGATTTATCTGAAGGAACTTGGCCACAAGGTTCAGGTCAGTCACGCACATCTTTGGCCAAGTGGGGCACACACACGGCCCCATTGACCAGCGGTTGGGCCAAGCAGCTGCCACATTCAGCAAGCAAGCTTGCATTGAATCACCTGAGGACAGTGGAGCCTTTACCCTGGGTGTGTTTCCAAATACTCTTGGTCTTCCCATGGGATGTTTAATTCTGTTGTTCCACCCCTAGGATGTTAGTCAGTCTTGCTTTCACTGTGTCAGGATTTTGTGGATCTGCTCAAGAACCAGTTCTCACCAATCCGGAACAGAACCCTCAAGGTAGAACTACTCCCAGGAAGTCTGGATATGAAGAAATACCTGTCTCAGTACACTGTTGAGATTGGAGGCCTGGTGACCTCCCACCATGATCCAGCTGATGCAAACCATTGCTGGCGCTTCATCCGCCGCAGTGCACCTTGATCCCATTTCTCCAAGGTTTTTTGTTTGTGAATGGGTGCTTCCAATTGTTTCAAATGTGATAGCATTTGGCTGCCAATGCAAGGACCTGCCTGTCTATGATGACCAAACTGGTGAGTCGTGGGCTCCTCAAGAGATCCCAAAAGAAGCTTAGTTTAGGAAGTGTTTTTGCTTTGTGGTAAATTTTTGGGTTGGGGTCTCTCCAATTCCATAGCTGTGCAGAGAAGCTCAAGCAAGTTTGTTTTTCTATCTCAGCTTAAGGAGAGCTACCCGCACCTTCCAAACGACTGCATCCTTTTGGTCAAACACTTGGTGAACTCAGAGAGCCTGAGTCAGAGCCCAATGACTTTGCTCCCAGCATCCTTCCAAGACAAGGTGAAGGTTGGAGTGCAAGCTCTTCCCAGGAACTTGATTGCGGACAGGGCCAGAAAGGAGCAACTTGGTTTGTAAGGGCAAACCCTTATATTGTGTGTGGCTACTACCCTTCCACCCTTTTCTGCCCTCCCATGTATGAGCAAAAAAACGTGCCTCAAAGATATATCACCTGCCCATGTTTGGCCTCAGGTTCCGTCGGACTGCGGATGTGGTGGAGAGGGACCCGTGGCTACTACATAAAGCTGCAAAAGCTTTGCGAGAGTGGGTGGACACTTTGCAATATAGAAGGTTTTTTTTGTGGTTTGCCTGGAATGGTAGGTTCAAACTAGGTGGTGCAAAACCCTTCATGCGCCACTACTTGATTGGGTGAGGACAACAATGAGAAGCAGGAGTGGCCAGAGATTCCAGAGCCCAAGTGGTGGTTCAGTACTGATGTGCGTGAGCTGGGTGTGGAACCAACTCCCAATGGGCATCTTGACCAGTGTTGGCACACTTTGGAAAACATGTTGCTCACCCTGTATTAGACCCAGTCATGACTAGAAGCATGAACATGCTGTCTTACTCCACACATCTTGATCAGCAAGGTGGGAGAAATTTGCACCTGGGCCAGTGCGGCAGGTTACCATCACCCCGGGGGCTGCCATTGGTGGAGAGCCAAAGAGACGTGGGAGACCTCCTAAAAGGAAGGATGCTGAGGTAGAGAAAGTGGTACCGCTGGGGGGAGGGTGAGCAGGTCTTTGGGCCCAGGTCCAAAAAACGGAGCACTGTGGTTCCTCCCACAGAGGAGATCGTGCCTAAAGATCTCTTTGGTGCTGCTGCTGACCTACCTGCTGACCCACCTGCTCCAGAGATGCCTTGGCCTACCCGGGCAACCTTTGCAGGCAGGAAGAAGCCAACTAATGAGGAGGCTGGTGCAATCTTTGAAGCTCGGAGGTCAAAGTTCTATGAAATGGTGCCTTCTCAGTATTGGCGGGATGGGCTTGAGCGGGACTACTGGAACAAGTGTGTCCAGGGTGGCTGTGTGGATTTGGCAGTGGAGGAGTTCTTGAAAGACCATGGTGCAGCAGCTTCAAACCAAGGTGCTGGTCGTGGGCGTGGGCGTGGCCGTGGCAAGCAGGCCAAGGCGAAAGCCATGCCCAAGGAGCCTGGCAGGAACCGAGGCCGTGGCCGCAGCAAGGCTCTGGGCAAGCGCTAGGTGCTGTGAAATGTGGCTGGTAGCAAGTTTGGGGTAGGCCCAGAATCAATCAAGCTGATTGATGGCCACTTTTTGTGGGATACGTTTGGGTGTGGGAAAGCCTGCATCCCTTCAATGTCATCATGACATCGGGTGACATGAGCTAGATTGTCTACAGCAAGTGAGCCGATGGGAGAAGCAAAGATGCTGAAGTTATCACCCTTCAAGTTGACACTTCAAAACAAATTCAATGTTATGCTTTTTTTGGAGATTGCACCGGCCTTCTTCATGTGAGCTCAGGGTACTGCTGGTTGTATCAAAAAGCATAGCCAAACAAGACTAGGACCATGCACTCTGTTTCCATGACTGTTAGTCAGACTGCTAATGTAATTGTCTAACATCACAACCACCTGACCACCCTGCTGCTATGGTGGATTTGCATCACAGTGATGATGATGCTTGGGTTGATCTGGGCCCTGAGATCTCCCCTGCCCCTCAAAAGCCAGTTGTTGGTAACAAAAGAAAAGCTCAGCGGACATGTCCTCAGATGTCCAAGAACCAGCCCAAGCCCAAAACCCAAAAGCGCAAGCTGCCTTCTGCAAGTGCAGAGCTAGAGCTGCCATCTGATGATGATGGTCTAGTCCTTGACCTGCCAGGGCGGGCTCCAGTGGTTAAGGACACTGAACATCAGGTATGTGATTGCGAGGACTCTTCATTGAAGGCTGCTGCATCCCGTGTTGCATCAGTGGTTGACAACAAGTACATAGACCTCTTAGACATCCTGAAAGGCCAAGTTCCTTGTGCTGTGGAGATGCGATGCCACCTTTGGGAGATCTTTTCTGTACCAAGGTGCACCCCCAGAGTTCGTGAATTGGGTGGCCGTGCACGCCGGAGCTATGATATCAAGCATTATTGGGACCTATCAGCAGAAAGTTTCCAGCGCACAACCATGCAGGATGTGTTGCTCCTTAAACCTTTGTGCTTGTTCATGAGTCCACCATGCACAATGGTGTGCAGCATGCAGCACAGTAACTGGCGCCGGATCAAGCACAAGGACAAGTTCATGTGCTTGAAAGAAGCGCTTGACTTCATTGACTTCTGCGCTTGGCTGGCCTTGCTCCAGCTGACCATGGGCTTGTTCTTTGCTTTGGAGCACCCGGAGAAATCCTTAGCGTGGGATCGGGCTTCGGTCCCTCTGATGCAACAGGGGTGTCCATTCTTCTTTCTAAGCTATAGTGACTATAGTGGGTCATACATAGCTACAGTTGGCATATGACCATGGTGCTTTGCGAATGGTGTATCCGGTAGTATGCCAACTTAAGTTGCAAATGTAACAAAAACATGAGAATGGGCAGTGGGCAAGCTAAGAAAGAAAGAACCTTGTTCTTTGTCCTCTTTCTCTCTCTGTTTTACTCCTCTCTGCAAACTGTAGAGTTGAATGTATATACAACAAATATATAATATGTATGCATATACAGCAAATAGATCCTCTGTTTGTCTTCTCACCGCAGCAAAAAGAATCTGACAAACAGGTTTATCCTCAGCAAATACCAAAACCATCTTCTCTGTATGTGCAATCTTTGCGCGCATCTTTCTTATATACATGAATTCTGCACTTGCAACCAGGAAGTTGCAAGTGTGTGTTCATTGTTTTCATGATGTTCTTGTTTGCCTTGGATGGTCCTTCAATAGGTTCTTATGCAATCCTTGATTCCCTATACTCCCACAAAATAGGCCTCATGCTGATTCATGCCCCATGAGGGCCTCCACCGTGTTCATCTGGCACCTAAATTTGGGCACCAGATGAACACCAATTTGGGGCACCATAATCCAGAGCCAAAGGTTGGTCTGGGGCTGTGAGCAGAACAACAAACACACACCATGCAATGTCCGCTATGGAATGGCACTTCTTGTGCAAGTTGCAACCCGATAGCAATGAAGTTGTGATTTGATCTCCCCTTACAACATCACCATTCCAAATCTTGTGGAACAACAGTGGGGCAACAAAACTTGCACTCCCAAATCCACCCAAAACTTGACATGCAAAATCCCTTTGACAAATCCCCTGCGCTGGAAATCCTATGTGCAATCCATGTCAGGGCAACTGCGGGAGGTGTTTGTTTGGTGGGCACACCCTTTTTTTGGGACTTGGAGGTATGGAGAGTAGGAGTGAGTGAAGCCTAGAACCTGCAACCAGGTGCAGAACCTTACCAAGAAGGATGGTGTGAAGAAGGTCACCTTTGACCAGTGCATGTTTGATCTCCGGGCTCCCTCAGGGAAGTTCCTGCGGAAGAGAACATGTCTACTTACAAACAGCAATGCCATTGTCATGGCCTTTGACAAAAAGTTCTGTGGTGGCCATCAGGAGCACCAACGGGTGGAAGGCTCAGAATGTGGCCAGAAGAGGTCTCTACTTGCACAGGTGTACCCAGGGCCAATGGTGGATGCCATAGCTCATGCTGTGCTGCTAGAAGGCAGCAGAGTCCCTGGTTTCTGACCAGTTTTGGAACACTTGGAGAGCTGTTGCGGGGAGTCCAAAAGAGCAGGAAATGTATTGTAACTATAATGGCAAAGAGTGTGGAGGTAGCTATCTTGTAGAAGGGATGTTTTGTTTTTGGTTTGATTTGGGGGTCGGAGATCGGCGGATTTCAGATGAAACCATCTGAAGTTCTACACCGGAATCAAACATAATGGATATCATCAGACTCACTCAGTTTCTGTTCAAGTTTTTTTGGGTAACATCCTAACTCTAACTTCCCCAGAGGCCTCAAGATCGGATGGTTTCATTTGAAATCGACCTAAATCGTTGGATTCTCAGATGAGATCCTCAGGGCCAAGCAAATCTGCGCATCTCAGCATGCAAAATCTCATGGGTAGACTTAGGATGGTTTCATTTGAAAGCTGCCCAATCCCTGGGGGTTTTGGGGTGGCCAGCGCATCTCATGGGTCAGAAATCAGACCCCTGAGTTCAGCTAGGGGGGTGGTTGCCACATAAAGGATTGGGAGGGTTTCATTTGAAACCAGCTGAAGTCAACCCCTCAAATTCTGCACCCTGACTTCAGCAGATTTTGGGTCCAGTGTTCAGCGTTGCATATGGATGGGATGAGCACCATGGCAGAGGATGACCCTGGCCTGTTTGACCAATTGGAGACTTGGGCTCAACATGGCACTTGGTTCAAACAGTGTACCAGTGATCTAGCATGTAAAGGTGTTGGTGGGCAGTTCCACTGGTTACCCTGGCGCCCCTTCAGGACAAGGAGCGCAATCTGGATGCTGTGATGTCTGGTTCACCTAAAGGAGATGAATCCACAACAGCAGCTGGAAGTGACATGCTGTCCGATTCAACCTTGCCTTTGGACTCGGTGTTTGAGACCCTGTATGACTCAGTGTGCAAAGAAATTGAAAGCACCTCTGTCCCCAAAGTTGCAGACCTTTCTTTGTCCCTATGTGGGTGTGTTAGGATTTGTTCAACCAACCCAACATGTGAAACCTTCCCACTTTTGAGGTGCTGGAGGACCACGCCAGTACTTGCATGCTGAATTCCCTGTCCGCAGTGAGAGGGCAAAGGGCATTGCCAAGGTAATGGAGGTGGCACTGGGGATGTGTGAAGACGTTGACTATGCTACAGACTACCCTTTGCCAGTATGCTTCTCTGGCTACTTGGTCCTGTGCATGCACATGGGGCTGTGTATAACTGTTTGGGTATAGGCACAAGAAATTTAAAAGTACTTTGTTGGGTGGTGTTTCCAATCCCAGGAGCAGAAGATGAACAAGCACCGTTCTTTCTTCCATTGGGGGCTTTCTCAGCTGAAGCAGAGAGCTCACTCAGGGAGCCACCATCCCTTGATGTTGCAATCAAACTCATCAACAACTTCCACAAGCATGGATTTCAAACTACAGGTGTCCCTATTCTGATTCGGCTGGAGGTGGGGCCATGGGATGTGTTCTAGTTTTGTGTTGTGTATTCAGCTCCATGTCCCCACCACCTTCAAACCTGACTGCACCAGCCCTGCAGACAGCGAGCCTTCCAGACAGTGGTGAGATTGAGCCCGGCTCCATTTACTTCCTGAAGGGTGCTGCCAGGATCCAAACAGCCATGGCTGTGGTTGTGGCTTTGCGCAGGATGGGTCATGAGGTGTGGTGTGGTCCAAACAGACTTGGTTGGGAACCAGACCTGTTCCTGTTCCTTAGAATTTAGAGACATATGCACACTTGGAGGTGCCATTGATTCTGAAGAAGTCTCTCCAACGCATCAAGTGCAAGCACATCAGGCTCAGAGACCGTCAAGCTGAACTGTCCCATGTATATGTTCCAGTGCTGCTTTTCTTTACCTCTAGAGGTAGTGATGGATAGCTCAGGGTACAGGATAAATCCTCCACAAATTGCTTACTTTCACATGTGGTGCCTGACAGTGGGCACCATGAGTGAAAGTATGGAAACCAAATTACCTAGGGTCAGATTGGGTTTCTGAGGGCTGAATGCCATTGATTGGCCTTTGCCAGTTGTTTACCAAATTGCAGGGGTGAACCCAGATAACCGCCCAGGTTCTACAACATGAAGAAGAGTTCCTCTGATGCGATCCGGCGTGCGCCAAGTGCAATCTCATGGGTATTTAGCTTGGTCAACCTGTCAGCGTGGGGCCATTCTGATTCCCAGTCCCTCATCAAGGCATGGAAGCTTGGTGGAACAAAAGCAAGACCTCAAAGCTTTTAGGCCTTTCGTGGTGAATGAAAACAAAACTAAAAGGCAAGTTTCTTCCCACTAAGAAGCAACAGGGGTCCTGAAAGAAACCTTCCAGGAACGATGATGCTGCAAAACATGACCGCATTGCTGGCTACAAGTACCAGGCTGTTAAGACCATCCTAGAGCTCCCTGAAGCTGCTAGGAACATAATCCTTGGCACAGTCAGCCTGTATGGTTGGGAGGGTGGCTCATTCCTTATTACAGCAAGAGTTTCTGTTTTGGTGGCTGGTACACCCTACCACACGATGATGCTTCTGTCCACTATATTTGACATTCAGGTTGCCCCTACACGGATGATGCACTGGGATCGAAAAAGCTTCTGGTTGGCTACAACTCCAAATCTGGCAAGCTCTCCAGAACATCCCCCCTGGACAACAAGATTGAAGAACACCAAGGAGTCTGTGGTTCTTCTCTTCAGGATGGTCCACAATCAGTACACCAACATGCCACCCAATCACAGGAAAAAGTTGACCAAGAGCCAGCTAGAAGAGAAGGCTGAGATTACTGCCCTTGCCTGTCACTAGTCTGAATGTTGTTTCTTTTCTTGTGCACATATGACCTTAATAACCCAGCATCTAGGAACATAACTACAACTAGTGTATTTGTGTGTTTCTTTTTGCAAGTTGAGGTTCTATTGTGGATGAGCTCACGTCCCAGGTTCCCAATGTTGCCCCGGTCCTTGAGGAGAAGCTTCTTGGTGCCAATACTGAGTTTTTGATCTCAACATGGAAATGTCCAAGTTCCATGGGACACCAAAAACAAGTGGGGTACATTGGGTACATAGCACCCTTTGTGTGGTTGGTGTTTAATTTGGGTCATGTTTTTGACCAACATCAACTTGATCCACCAAGGTTCTTGGAGCGGCTCCGGCGTGGAGACCCCGGTCTTGAGATGGAGCTCGGATCGGCCTGCTCTGCAAAAGATGACAAGTGGGGGGCCACGCGACAACGGGTGTGATGTGGCTTCTATTTCAACCACTTATTTCAATGCTTTCCCCAGTGAAATCCTTTTGTACCTGTCCACCATAGGTTAGGTGAAAAGAAAACTAAGTTGGGGAAGGGTGTGGTTCTTTAGTCTTGTGAGTGTGGCCCACAGGTATTCTGGAGATATTGAATGGGCTGACTGCTGGGAAAGGTGAGGCGATCACTGGTTCAAGTGAGGCTGCTCTCTTCAAGTCTGCCACTGACCTCGATGCAGCTAGCTACATGCTGGCCTTAGAGGAAATTGCATATGATGAGCGATGCCTCCAGGTGTACTTGGGTAAAATGAGCAACCATGAGGTCCGCATCACCCAGTTGAAGGAGCAATGGAACCGGAAGAGGCAAGAAGGAGCCAAGGAGGCTGTCCACAAGTGGGTGGACCAACATGCACCTTGGATACTATTATTCATATGACCTATTCCACCAAACTGCAGCCCCAGCAGCACACCAATCACCCAAAAAGAAGGGAACATCTCAACAGAGTAGGTTTGGAGAGGGTACTGTGTATCTTTTGTCCCTCTGGTTATTTTTGTCGTTGTTGTTGTTGTTGTTGTTGTGGCTTGCCTTGTTGCTGAAGTGTTTGTTTGCCTACCATCTTGTGTGTGTGCACTACTGCTGCACTTTTGTTGTCCAAGGTGGATGCAAACACATGGCCTTCCAAGTTTGATGCTGGGACAGCTTTGAGCATGATGCGGAGCATTGAGGAGGCTGCATCCAGGTGGCGAGATTCAATGAAGTGCCGGAACATTGTTCCTGGATATGTGCTTGTAAGTGCAACCTTTTCTTGTTTCTGCTGTTTTGTTTTGTGTGGGTGCCAAATCCTTACAGCACTTGTGAACATATTCTGAGGCCCTGCTCTTCATTTGCAACTATGCATCTCCCAGTCTCATCAAGAGTGACATCACTGCTGCCACCTTCAGCATGGTTGGCCACATGCTTGGCTCAGAGTTTGGTCCACAAGCATGTGGGCTGCTGCTATGCCCGGTCTACTCATACCAGAAACATCATTTGTTTCTTGAAGAGCATGCTTTGCTCAAGATGCTGAGCAACAATTCGTGTTCTGTGGATACCCTCTTCCAGCTCAATTTTGACATCAAGTCCAAGACAGAGACCTCCCCACAGCCTAGATGCACTTTTCTTGTCTAGTTTTTGCTTTTTCAACATCCTCCCAGAAATCAGTCCTTTTCTCCTGGCCAATCAGGACCAAAGAGATCAGCGTCCTATGGCATACACTGGCCGGTTTCTTGCTCCAGCCAATGCAGGAAGCGATTGGGCTTGGCGTGAGTCTACCCTCTTTAAGCTTCGTCGCAACACGAATGAGGCTTTGCAGCTGGCAAGCAAGCAAATGGTGATTCAGGAAGACATGAACCCGAAGGCCCTTCCTAGCACAGATGCTGGAACTTTACATGGCGCCCAAAAGTATGCCCAGATTGGCTCTGATGCAGCCCGGAAGCTGTTGTCATCTGCGCTGGAACCTCTTCTGGGCCATAAACCTTTCTTGTTGGCAACACTTTGCTGAGGTTTGGGGTTCTAGACTCTAGCCCTGTTGAGGTTTCCAAAACCAGTTGCCAGTCTTGTCCAGCAAGCAGTCATTGCTAAGGAGGGTGTGAACTTTGGGAATCACACATCCCTTCTTGTGGTGGACACAACGCCGCTGGTTGGAAACTTCTTTGAGGCCTACCTGGAGGTGTCCAAAGATACCAACGTGCCCATGAAGTATGTTCCACTTTTTGCAGATGATGGGCATCAGGAATGGTTTTCTGGCTATTTTCACCAAGAGCTGACCAAGCGCTTCCTGCAGGACTCTTTGAAAATCCCTGGTTCTTCCAGGCATGTTGGTCTTGGAAGGGCGTGTTTGGGAAAGGAGTATTCCAAAGAATTAGGTGTCACATGGTTGAGATATTTTGCAAGACTCCCTTCTGAACCCCCCTCTGGTGTTTCAATTCAAAGAAATAAGCATCCCATGGCTGAGACCTTTTGCCAGGCTTCCCTCTCAACCCCCCTGCGGAGCACATGGAATCCAAGCCGGAGCCTCCTGCCTTGAAGCGGTGCTTGTGGGGCAAGGCCAGTGGTTCATTGCTCCAGTTGTTGCTGCTTTGCCAAGTCTCCCATCAGTTGCTGTCATTTGTTGAGAGTGTTGAACAACTTAGGCAGGTGAAGATTGAGATCATTTGTTGTGAGTGTTGAACAACTTGGGCAGGTGAAGAATGAGATCCGCACCATTGAGCTCCCTGAGGATGAGGTCAAGAAGTGGTGGAGCAAAGATGAATGGAAGTGCTTTGTCCAAGAGTTCCAGGAGCGGCACCCTCCAGTGAAGCAGCTTGAGAAAGAGGCCCCC